CTTCCTGTGGCCTGGCACACCAGGAGGTGAAGGGTTGCAGAGGCACTTTAGGTAGTAGCTGGGCATATGTTCTGCCAAGTCTCTGGGGCATTGTGGGTCCTAGACCTTGCAGGCAAACTGCGTCACTTTTAATGTGCCGCTTCTTTTAACACTCTTGTGCCAACCCTGAATCTTCAAATAGAATCACTCCCCATTCAACCAGATTACTCTCTACATCTTGGGCTGAAAGAGCTGCTGCCACCATAGAGATCTGCAAGGCAGCTTGCTGGTCCAGTCCGAATACTTTCATCAAGCACTACACTTTGTGTCCTGTCGGGGTGTACATTTCTACAGGCAATGGTCCCTCCCTAGGTGGGCATCTTGCTGGTCTCATGTGATGGCCCTGGTTAGGAAAGCACCTGGTTACTCCAGGTCTCTCTTTCTATATTTTTATTTGATTCCCTGCCTTCAATATACTGGATGCAGTATGCTGTGCTCAGGGGGAGGAGCTATGACACCTTGCATGCACGTACAGTCTACCGGGCGTCACTGAACCCAGAAAACTGGGGACATCTAGGTGGAGAAAAGGTACTGTGGGGGACACTTCTACATTACAAAGGGGGTAATGCAGCTAGAGCTTTTTGGGGGGGCGGAACAAAACAAAACAAAAAATTGCCAGGAGGTGGCCTTTAAATCCAGAGATAAATGACTTATCACTAGAGCCAGAGCCATGAGCACAGAATATGTACTGGGTGGTGGTGAATTTCACATCCAAGCACCACCATGGCATTACATACATACTACCCCCCAGGCAAAACCTGGATATCAATATGAGACACTTACTGCTCCGTCTGTTCTTCATCATAACGATGGCGCTGAGGAACATCAATATCTCCACTTCTCTCTGGCAGGAAAAAAAAGTCGGAACATGAGAGATATATAAAGAAGAACTCCAAGAAAAAACAAAAAAGGGACGCACACACACTGGTGGACGCTACATCAAGTGGCCACCGTCTTAATATGGACTGGACTGCTGAATATGTTCCACGGTGATCCTGCCCTGCTTGGTCATGCGCACAACCACAGAGGCACCACTGGCCGGGGACAGGTAGGCTCCTTATAAACACCACCAGGAGGGGCTCGCTACACAATCCGAGAATCAAATTATACATAACGGTTTTTTGTATTATACGATGATTTATATGTAGCTGATCATTTCAATTATAACATTATATTTATAAGATAATTATTTTGAATACATAAGATAAGGATACATTTAGAAAAAAATATTAAAAATATGATATTATGTACACGAAGGGCGGTCCAGTCTATCACACAGCGCAATGCACCGTACGCTAGGTGCGCGGCATTGCCAGTCATTCTGAATGGCCTCCCCCATGCAGCTTCTGGCATGCATTATTTTTCTCACTGTGCGGCACCACAATGCAGGCTATTGCGGTACTGTGCATTGTAGCCCACTGCGAGGGGTGCTGTTCGTTATGAATGGCAACGCACCGAGCATGAGGTGCATTGCACTGTCCGATAGCATGCAGTAAAGGACACTATAGCGTGAACCCGCCCCCATTTTTTGCACATCTGCTGTCCTGCTACAATACACAATGGAAATTACAGTGTGCTCTATGGTGTCCGTTCACAGCTATGCAACACTGTGCTGCGCAATTTGTGAAGAGGTGCCGGAACTTCTTTGGATACGTTTTCTAATATCCATAGACTTGATTGGGGGCATATGAAAATATGCATGTCATTTGTGTTTTAGTGCATGACAACATACCTCCCACCCCCTAGCAACCCGAACGTCATTTTACCTTCACTGGCCAAACAAAAGGCTATAAAACATGCAAAAATGTGCAGACGCACAAGTGGGACTGAAGTGATCTCATATCAGAGGAGTATAATATATCTAAGAATCAATCACTTGGCATTTGAATCCATGTAGCTGCACAGAACTGGGGGTGGGGTGTCACCATTGCGCCATTCTCTGATGGCATCATTGAATGTTGTGACCACATTTTTCACATGGTAACTCTACCAGAGTGTGTGTGTGTGTTTGGGGAAGGGGAGGGGATTCTACTTGTCAGCAGACGGGTCTTTATATAGGAGTAGGTAGATGGAGGATGGGCGCACAGAGGATACAACATGTTGGAGTCACTCATATAAGCCTAACTTGTCCCTGAAATAACTTTCTATGCCGACTGCAAAAATGTACAAAGCACCCGAACTGGCTGAAGGAACAAAACCAGAAACTCCACATACTGATAACAGGCAAAGGGAGACAAGGGTGGCCAGAGCCCGGGACTCATCATTGGAATTATTTGGAAGACATATTCGATTTTTGTTTCGTGAATTGGTGATATTCCCGTTACTAAAACTTTCATTGAAATAGATTACAGCCACAATTGCTGTAATCCACTTTGTCTGCACCACATGTGTTCGCAAACCCAAATGTTACCTTGTAGCAGTAGCAGCGACTAGGAACAAGCTCAGGTTTGGACTGCACCAGGTTTGAACCAGTGATCCTCTGAACCTGAGCTCCTCCTGTACCTGAAAGGAGCTCCTCCTGAACCAATCCAAATTTGAATTGCTGAACCCAATCTGAATCCGAGCTCCTTGGAACCCAGAATGAGAGCTTCCTGAACCCAACCTGATCTCTTCTGAACCAATATGTTCCTCCCGAACCTCATCCGAACCTGGGCTCCTCTGAATCTGGAATTAGCTCTTCCTGAACCCAATTATAACCTGTCCTCCTCTGAACCTGATCTAAACCTGAGTTCCTCCTCAACCCAACTTTATCCTGAGCTCCTACACAACCCGATCTAATCCTCAGCTCCACCAAGCCTGAGCTCCTCCAAATCCAATCTAAACCTGAGTTCCTCTGATTCTGGAATGGGTTCCTCTGAACCTGAGCGCCTCTGAACCTCGTCTAAACCCGAACTCCTCAAACCCAATCTGAATATGAAGCTGAGCTCCTCTGAACCTGGAATTAGCTCCTCCTGAATCTGATCTAAACCTGAGCTCCTCTGAACCTTGTCTAAACCTGAGCTCTCCTGAACCCGGAAAGAGCTCCCACTGAACAAGCTCCCCCTGAACCCTCTCTCAACCCGGAGCTCCCCTGAACCCGCTCTCAACCCGGAGCTCCCCCTGAACCCGATCTCAACCCGAGCTCCCCCTGAACCCGCTCTCCTTGGTAGCATTGCCACACAACCGATGACATCACTGAGCGTTCTTCGGGCACTTGATGGGCATGAATGCGCACGATGTGGGCGATTGCATAGGGAAGCCATTAATTTCAATGGGCTGCCCCTGTGCACAGCTGTTTGAGCTGCAGACTTTGCACACTCGGGGCCCCATGAACAATGATGGTACCACTTTGTCACAATTCAATAAAGTTGTACCAAAGTGACACTTCATTCTGTCCTAGTCACTTCCAGCATGTTAGGATGTGTTGCATTGGGTCACAACCAAGCATGAAACTTGCAGCTCCGCCTGGTGCTCACTCTGCAGCTCATGCGAGGTGTTCTGCGATTGGACGAGAGGAAATTGTGACGTTCACTCGCCCCTCGTGTGCTTCAGCCCCATTCTCACAACCCTGACCCTTTTAAAGAGGACACCCCCCCCAATGATTCCCCTCCCCCACCCCTTTGGCACTCTTCTTATGATGTAATCACATACATACAAGCTCAACACATCCAGCGTTGTCTTCCTACTGGACCTGTCCTCTGCTGCCATCTTGTTTGCTGACGTCACAGGCAGCCATCTTTCTCTTCCTGGCTCTTTAGCTGCCCCCCTACACCTATGACACAACCCCCTATCTCGCACATGTGCACAGTGAGATCTGCTCATGCCGTTTTATGAATAGAGGGATGGGGATGAGTGTGGTTGGTTCCCCAACAAAACGCGTCAATGAGAATGACAAGAGGGGGCGGGGCCACACACAAAAAAGGTAAATAATAAAAGGTTGATTTTCATAAATAAAGTGGGGAAAGGGTTACAACCTTCTTATTTTTTTAGGGTGAAGGACTGCTTTAAGTACAGCAATGTTAGGGCTCTTTCCTCTTCTATCCCAAGCTGGTAACATACAGGCAGATTTTGCTGTCAGATTATCACCCTTTAAAGCATTCTACCCTGCGGGGGTGTCATCTGTGTGTCGTGACCTTGTGCGGTCTGATTTAGATGTCTGGAACGATGTCAGGGTGTATGGCAGCCTTTCTAACACGCTGTAAGCGCGGAGCCGGAGCCCGCCCACCGCGGAGCAACACCCACGCGCTTCTCCCACCCCTGCATCGCGTGCTCCCTCAGTCTCACTCACCCAGTCAAAGTCACAGGGGTTGCCGTCCTCTCTCTGGCTGGGCAGCGCGGTGCACACCGGAGGGATCTTCCTGATGAGGAGGAAGGAGGCGGACAGCAGCGCCGACAGAAAGTAGTACGGCTGGCACACCCAGCGCCACAGGCCGGGTGCCGCATAGATCAGAGCCAGCAGCGGAGCGATCACCGCCATGGTCACTACAGCTCTTCACTGACAAGAAGCTATTGCGAGAAAGAGCAGACCAGCTCGGCCAATCATCGAACTGGGACTATGGCCAATCAGGGTGAGTAGAGGGCGGAGCCACATCCCTTGGTGTAAACACTGTCCAATAAAGAGCGTGGATGGCAAATAATTCTTCTCTTTGATGTGTTACGTCACCGCCAACCAGGGTCATATAGGGTAAAACTTGGATCCGCCCCCGTCTCCGAGATATTCCTGGCCATTCAGCATCAAGACGCAGCAAACCCAGTCCAATCAGGTTCAGCGCATAGCCACAGACTGGCTGAAACCGGAGACGCCTTTTGTGATTGGACAACTTTTGTAGGCGTTCCGCCTCACTTTCCCTATATTCAAATCAGTGACAGGTGCTTCGATAAGAGGCGGGCCTTAGCCTAACGTTCCTATTGGTGGATAGTAGGAAACACGTGAGGCCCCCCACTTTCCCGACCCAACGAGCCAATCAGCGACCTCTCCTCTGGAAGAGGGCTTGTTTTAGCTTTGTTTTCCTATTGGTCAGCGAAAGGAAGGAGGAGCTATGTGATTGGCTGGTTCTTCGGGAAGAACATGGAGCCGTTCTCATCACTGTTCGTCCCTTCAGAGCCGCCGCCTTCTCTCCCGTCTGGTCCTCCGGGCGCCCCGCCAGTGGTTCCTGGCGGCTTCGGGCCGGGGAAGCCTCTGTCGGTGTCTGGGCCCACCAACTCGTCAGTACCTGCGCTGCCTCCTCCACCATCTCTGTCCTCCTCAGTCCCTGTGGGTGAAGACGCGTCCAGGAGACCCTCCGGCCCCTTCTATCTGCTCAGAGAGCTCTCAGGTAAATACTGGGGTGACAGAACCTCATCTCATACACATGGGGGGAGGGGAATGATACATTGTGACAGACAGGTGAGTATTGGGGTGACAGGACCTCATCTCGTATACATGGGGGGAGGGGGGATGATACATTGTGATAGACAGGTGAGTACTAGGGTGACAGAGCCTCATCTCATACACATGGGGGAGGGGAATGATACATTGTGATAGGTGAGTATTGGGGTGACGGGACCTCATCTCGTATACATGGGGGGAGGGGGGATGATACATTGTGATAGACAGGTGAGTACTGGGGTGACAGAGCCTCATCTCATACACATGGGGGGAGGGGAATTATACATTGTGATAGACAGGTGAGTATTGGGGTGACAGAGCCTCATCTCATACACATGGGGGGAGGGGAATTATACATTGTGATAGACAGGTGAGTACTGGAGTGACAGAGCCTCATCTCATATACATGGGGGAAGGGGAATGATACATTGTGATAGACAGGTGAGTACTAGGGTGACAGGACCTCATGTTGTATACATGAGGGGAGGGGGGATGATACATTGTGATGGACAGGTGAGTACTGGGGTGACAAGACCTCAATTGATATACATGGGGGAGGGGGATGATACATTGTGATGGACAGGTGAGAACTGGAGTGACAGGTCCTCATCTCTTTTACATGGGGGGTGATACATTGTGATAGACAAGTGATAGGGGGCTACTGAAGGAGGAGCCGGGTCCTATACAGGACAACTTCAGTCTGACTCATACCTGTGTGTTGCAGTAAAGCACACATCACCACGATGCATGGCGCCGTGCAGTGCTATTTATTTACAGCGGTACCCAACAGACAGGACAGCAGCTGCTGATGAATTTGCACGGCAACGCACAATCATTGCTTTGTGGTGCCATTTAAAAGAAATTGCTGATTGCCTCGGTTTGTTTCTTGTCCATTGCACTCAGTGGGCCGTAGATTGAACGCTGTGAATACAACATTTGTGTTGCGCTTGTTCTCTTTGTCTCACTTTCTGCCACTTACTCTCCTCTTTATGTTTCTCGTTCTCCTCTAGGACTCTCCGACCTCACGGGCAGCGTCAATCTCATTCTGCATTATAATCTAGAACATGCGTTCGGGAAATTCTGCGGTAAAAAAGTCAAAGAGAAGCTCAGTAATTTCCTTCCAGACCTCCCAGGTGAGCAGATGGAAAGAAGACGGGGCTGTGATAGAGAAGACGGGGCTGTGATAGAGAACTAGAGTGACAATCCCTTATTTTGTCTGTTGATGCCTATAAATGGGATGGGGGTCCGCCATGCTGTAAGCCTTTTAGATTGTAAGCCCTCAGGGGCAGGCCTCTCCTTACCATCTTGTCTTGAATTGAATTGTAATGTCTTATATTGTAAAGCGCTGCGCAAACTGTTGGCGCTTTATAAATCCTGTATAATTATTAGGGATGTGCCGATACTGAGTATATGATTGCCCAGGAAGCCGGCTCCATGCCAGCAGAAGCAGCGGTATTGGTACTCCGTTTTGGTGAGGACTGTAAGCAAAATATCGGTACTCATACTTGATACAGAAAGACCGGTATCAGTGGATCCCTAATTTATAATAATATTGTGACACAGAGGGGGTCAAGAGCAGAAACT